TTTTAAAATAAATTGAACTGAATGAAATTTCTCACTCATTTAAAATTATTTTGATGTGACTGAGAACAGACTGAATGGATATTTGTATCCCAGTAGGTGAAAATACCGATTTTTCTGCATCTGTTGGAGCACAAAACAATAGCAATTAGAAGTAAGTAAGCAAATTTCAATATTGTCTACTAAACGTAAAATCGGTTTAGATGAGATGAAGATACGTTAATAAGCCATTACGAATATATATTCATATATAAACACGTACAGAAACCGTAGTGGCAATTAAAAGAAAAGCAAGTCAAAACACTATATATTGGGCCCCGGTCGACCTTCAAATGTCCTACGCCATTTCGCTGTAACAGTTGTTCATATGAAAACTTTTTAAAATAAGAATATATATGAAAGGTGGTCGAAAAATTGGTCCATTCCGTACAAATAAGCTTAAATCGATTCACAAAATGAAAGGTGGATTCATCTCAAGTTGTTCTGGGTGTCGCGTAATATACAGGCCTATCACAAGTTGTGCAGAATGTAATAAACTGTAAGCTGAGTGCAGACTATATTGTATGTAGGCTGTATGATGACAACGCCTGAAGCGAAATAACAATAACAGCATTGCCTGATAGCCTTGTAGCAAAATAATAAGAAAAGATATGTCCCCGTATGCTGAATATGAAGAAATTCGTAACTAGAAAAAGTGTCAATTTCAATGGCATCGTTTATCATAGTCTTGGACTATTAATTTGCAGTTTACAGTTTGCCTTTCCCGTAAAAACTTAACATTAATTAAAAATTAAACCGACTGTATAATTATCCTATCGCGCTATTCGCACACGTACTTTTGGTTTCTCGCTCGTAACAATCGCTCTTTAAAATTTACAAACGAAGTGATAAATCTAGTATATCTGTAATATTCGACAATGGGTATAATTAATAATAGTATGTTATACGGAATAGTAACAAAAAACAGCAGCACGACACATATGCACACATACATAGCAGCGGCGGCAACAGCAATAGCTTTAACTCAAAGAAGAAGAATATCAGCAAAATTATTGACATATATGTTTGAATTCGTTTAGAAAAGAATATATATATATATATATATATATATACATAAAATAAATATATACATATTCATACAAACCTATATACATTGAATATTATTCTGAACATCGTTTTATATTCTACAATACGTCGTCGTTTCAACTGATGTGATTTTCGCTTTGCTGGTTTTAGTCAACAATAACCACCAATCGAATGAACACACATAAACACACGCATGCATACATGGCTAGGAAACCAAGAGCATAGAAGAAAATAAATAAAATAAACTAAAGCAGCTGCTTCCGGCCTTTGATTGATAGTGAACTGGCAGCTTGCATGTTTATATCGTACAAATACGAGCGAACGATGACGGACAAATAAATGTTTTTTAGGGTAAAGAGCAACACAATAAGAATTACTTTTTCGGCATATGACGCGATGTGCAAATACACAGAGTCCACAATTGAATCTTTATTTACCTATAGGCACACATACATTCAAATCTTTTAAAATACGTAAAAGTTGTAGAAACTAACGATTATCATAAATAAAAGCGATCACGCCCATTAATACACGAAGAGGATAAAAACAAATACATTTCATCTTAAATCCTTTAACGGAAACATTTGAGAGCTAAAAGCCAAATGAGAAAACTATGTTAATTATATTAAGACACAATCCCTATTATGTGTGAATTGATGGGCAAATAAAATATACTCTGGGTCATCTTTCAGCTGGAAAGCAATATAAACAAGTCAAAAAATGATATTCAATTGTCACGGACTCTTTTATGAATGAAAAATGCATGAAAAAATGCATTGTATTTTTTTTAATATTTCTTCGATTAAGGCGAATATGTTTGACCATTTCTCTGAACATATATCGATATTAACGAACAATCAATCTTTAGGATAATATCGATAGAATTCTTTAGACAATTGAGGAGGCCGATATCGCCCGGGAAGTAGGCATTAATCCATTTGCATAAAGTTGAATATAACAGGAAGCTCGATGTTTCGATACCGCACAAATTAACGCGCTATTAAAACGAAAGGTAGCCGAATTATTTTTGAAGTGTTTGAGAGTGGGCCAAAGCAACAGGGGAGAGTACTTTCGTATTTAGTAAGAGCAATGAGCTGCTCCAAACTGGCGAAACAATTGATTTCACTGCCTATTGTCAACAGCTAATGTAATTAAAGCGCGCAATTGAGATATCGTGTACAAAATTATTGCTTAGGAACGAAAATGCGACAATATCAGAACCATGTGTACCTTGGATGATTGAGAGCGCTTGACTGGGTTGATGCATCCGAGGTGTAGGCTTCATCTAAAGCGGACTTGGACAGAGGTCTTCGCAAAGACTTGACTCAATTTTTGTTTTTAAAGTGCCAGAAACTGTGCTGTAATAGTTTGTTGTTAGTTTATATGTTTACCATAATAAATCGCGAAAGTTCATAGCTTATTTGAAATACAAGAAGAATGGGTTGGTAAAAAAGGGACATGAATGTTCTTCTTAATTTATTACAAAAACTCGTTATTGGTATCGGCTCATTGATGAATAGAATCAGACGGACATCGCGACCCACGTCATTTTGATCGTCCAGCCCGGAGTAATGAAAACCCTTCGTTAAATAGGACGAGAATGAAAGGCAACACTAAAACCATTCATTTTATTTACGTTACTTGCAGGACTCGATTTTTACAGCATTACAGCGCCATCTATGCGATTGTCTTACAAATATTTGCTCTTATACAATTCAAGAAGTGTGGTACCAGCAACGGAGGTCATCAGCTCGTCCGGCAACGCCTAAAAAAATTTAACTGAATACCGCTGAGTGCATCGCAAGTATTTATTCATTTGAGTATGATTTTTATCGTTTCTTGAATTTTTCGCGCCTATTAGTGTCGCGAAATGCTGACGTTTTGCATAGAGGGTAAAGGTGGTTGCGAACAATTACCTGCACAAAGTAAAACTTTATCGATCAAATTTACCGATCCATTTAAAAAGAAATTGACATTTTCGAAGCTTCGTAGATGTGAAGTGCAAAGTGTATTCGCATTCGTACGCTTCGCTTGGTTGCATTGCTTTGATCCAAATTTAATTTCTAGATGAAATATACAAATCAATACACATTTCTTCGGTGAAAGTCATCCGCTTAGAGTTAACTTGTGCTTGGCGAGAAGGACTAATTAAACATTTTAGAGAGTCGAATTTCCATTCCAATTAGATAATTGATTTTTAAGAATTTCAATACGCATGCAAACATATAGACAAGTATATACGAACGCACCAACCAAAGAACATGACGACGAAGTTGACGAAAAACGATCATCGAAACGTCTCAATACTTTTACTTCTCAATAATAAGCGATAATAACTCGTTTGCTTTGTTGTAGAAGACGATCTGAAGACGGTGACGATGAGCGGGGAAAAGCTCAAGTAAAATTCTAGTCTTTCATAAAATACATTTACTACGGGTCTCTCCAGTTCAATCCGTAGATTCTTCTATTTTATCTTCTTTGAAACTGTCCTTTAGTGGAATATTGTAATAACTGCACATATATTTTTTTTGTTTTTTTATATTATTTGTATAATTTTTTTTTTTTTTTTTTTTGCATTATTATTTTATTTATTATTTTTGTTCATTAAACATTTATTATTAATTTGTTGGTGTTATTAAAAATATTAATGACAAAATATTTATCGGCTGTAGTTATTATGGAAAATAATATGGAATCATGTGAAATTTTAAACTTACTTAAATTGTTAAAAAACAACAATCATCATAATCAATAATCATAAGTTTAATAATCATTAAAATAAGAATTAAAATAATAATAATAATAATAATAATCATAATAATAATAGTTGTTAATTCTTTTTAACGGCTACAACTTTTGACTTAGATAGTGAACAAACGAAAAAAATTTTTTAAACAAAAAAAAAAAACAAGAAAGAAAAAAATGAAAAAAAAGAATTAAATAAAAAAAAAAAGCTAGGCATTTAGGACAACTCAAAATAAGTATTGAAAAATGAATTTAAAAAAAAAAAAAAAAATTAAAAAAATATAATAAAAACTACTTCTGTTGCTCTATTTTTGTTGTTGTTTTTTTCCTCTTTTTTTTGCTTTCATCTTTATTTTTAAAAATAACATTTTTAATTATTTATTAATAATTATCTGTTTGCAGTCTTTGGTTATTTTATTTAATTTATGTACGTATGTATGTATGTATGTGTGTATGTGTGTATGTATCTATGTATGTATGTATTTATGTATGTATTTATGTATGTATGTATGCATGTATGTACGTATGTATGTATGTATGTATGTATGTATGTATGTATGTATGTATGTATG